TAAGATTTCGTTTTTATAATTCTTATAATAAACAAATTAAGATTTTTTAAGATTTATTAAATTAAGATAAGATTTATTTGTATCAAAATTAAGATTTATTAAATAAAATTCTAAGATTCTCATTTAAGCACCAATAAAAAATAATATTACTTATTTTGGTTTAATTATATGCTATAAAATTTAAATTATAAAAGAGCTGCAGATTCACACATATCGGCTAAGTTTTGTGAAATTACCAAATTAAATCACATAAAACAAAATTTTTTTATACTCAAACATGCCTTTCTTTAAGAAAATCGCTGCTAAATTTAACAACAATAAAAAAAAACTATTAAAAATTCGAACAAGAAATGTTGTAAAAAAGACTAAAAACGAAGAATGAGATTGGGAATGAGATCAACCAATTGAAGAAATCAGATTTGAAGAAGAAATCCAAAACAATAATGAGGATCAACCTTCTGAGTTGATAGACAAACTAGAATTTTCAGAAGAAAATTCAAGCACATCAATCAACCAAGAGAGTCAATCTTCTGAATTGATAGACGAACCAGAATTTTCAGAAGAAAATTCAAGCACATCAATCAATCAAGAGAATCAATCGAATAACTCTAAAGAAGAAGAAGAAAATTTGGTTGAAGATGATGATTGGCTGACCAAATTTTGGCCCCCATTAGCTTTATTATTTTTAATAATTATTTTATCAGATAAAATAATTACAAGAATAATAACGGGAAAATTTTTGGTTTTTTTTATTTTTTATTTTTTGATGTAATCTACTTACAATTATGATTAAAAAAAGAAAACAAAATTGACTACAGTTTGAATCCCAACAAAATCAAATTTTCACAAGCAAACTGCAGCTCATTTTTTCAAAATGGCTATTCTGTTAAAGATATAATTGTTAAATTGATAACAGGTAGTTTACAAATAGAAAATATACCTATTATCAGAGTGTGTATTATTGACGGATCTTTTTACACACTTGATAATAGACGTCTGTACGCATTTCAAACTGCAATATATTTGGGGTTGAAAAAACAAAAAATACCTGTTATTGTAACCAGATTAGAAGATGGGAATATAAAATGGAAACTCGCTGCAAGTTATAAAGTTGTAAAAAATACAACTTTTCACAATATAACCATTTCAGAATATGCACGAAATGGTATTGCAGTTGATGGGAGGGGAATTGCATGGAGCTGTTATAATTCTTTTTAAAATCTGTATATATAATTATTTAATGTTGTACATATTAAACCATATTTAGTAATTCATATAAATAAAATTTCATGTGTAAATTTAATTAGTTCACATATACATGCAGTCTATATCTCTATGAAAATACCTAATTCGATGAAAAAATATCTGATAAGAACAATTATAAAAATGGCGAATTCTGATGTTTAAAATCTTTACTACTTGTAAATTAAACAACACAAAACATCAAAAATGAACTTCTTAAACTATCTTATCGTTTTTATTGTATGCATTGGTCTGTTCATCACAACAGCCAATAATCTTTATGATGAAAATAATTTTTCATTATATATTAATTATATTTATAATATTATTTTTAAAATAATAAACACGAAATTTTTCTTTTGGTTATTTATAATATTTATTAATATTATAATAACTATTAGTTTAAACACTTTATTTTAATTATATTTCTGCAATACTATTTATCAACAGTTTTCAGAAAGATTTATTTTGTAAGATTTGTACACAAATCTTCAAACCTTTTGTGGGTGAAAGCGAAAGTGTACACAGTGTGACGTACAGCCCAAAAATCATTTTACAAATCGAAACGAACCCAGGACAATATATATATAAATTAAAACTCAAAACAGAGATTGTACTGAATTTTATGCAATCTCTACAAAAAATATTGGGTGAAAGCGAAAGTGTATGCAGTGCGACGTACAGACCAAAAATTATTTTACAAATCAAAAAAAAGATGCAAAAACACTACGCTAACTTAGAGTTTAAGAGTACATATACGACATGTTTCTTCAGCTTATATATTAAATATAAGAAGAATTGTTATCATTTTTATCATTGCATATTAAAAACAAATAGTTCTTAACAAAGTTTTATTTTTATTTTTATATTTTTATAATGTTTGACAATCTTTGAATGTAGATAGTTAAAAAAGCCAAATTGCTTCTAGATTAATAAAACTAAATTCAAAATAATCAAATTAATTTTAGATTTGTAAATTTCAATAACTTTACGTCCAATAATGTACATCTTTAAATATTTTTATTTTTTTTTATTTTTTTAAAATGTCTGGCAATCTTTAAATGTAGATAGATAAAAAAGCCAAATTGCTTCTAGATTAGTAAAACTAAATAATTCAAAAATAATCAAATTAATTCTAGATTTGTAAATTTCAATAACTTGTAAATATTTAATAAAGATTACAAAACAGGTTTAAACTAATAATATAAATAAAATTTATAAAAATGAAGTGATTTTATTATAAAATTCTCAGATCATGCTAATATTTTTTCTTTGACGTAATTATGAAGGTTTTTGTTTAGCAAAAACATTTTTTTTTAAAAAAAAAATAAAAAATAAAAAAAGGTATATAATTTTATTTTTTAAATTATTAAAAAAAAAGTAAGTAATTAAAATTTATTTTTTTACAAAGATGTCGAATGATAATAATCTCGATGAACAAATAATTAATAATGAACAAAAAAATATCGAAAAAAAAGATAAAAATATCATTATTAGTGAAGATGTAATTGAAAATATTAATATTGAAAATATTTCAATTTTGATCAAAATTAAAAAAAGTTTATTAGCTCAAGTTTACAAAAATTTAAATTATAAAACAGAAGAAGATGTAAATATTTTTACCAAAGAAAAAAAATATCACAATGATGTGATTAATAGTTGGGTTAATGAGTATGGTTTTGACAAAACGTTTTTATTTGAAAATGCATATACAGGCCTTATTAATAGAGATGATATTTTTCAAATTTTTTTTTTATATTCTGTTGAAAATGAAAATGAAAATTTTTATGTTGAGATTACCTATAATTTTACAATCGATGTTAAAAATTTAATTAACGAAATTTTTTTTGTTATTTTAAAAAAATAAAATTTTAGTGTCTTTTGTTGTTCCTTTCAACTATAATGAAGATAAAAAAAGTGAATTACAAGAATTAATTGATTCTGGTTCTATTACATTTAATTATGATATCAGTTGTGATACATATACGAAAGATGTTAACCAACACGAAACGGTAATTGATGGATGGATTAAAGACTATGGTAAACTACCAAACGGTTTCAAGTCTAAAATTGAAAATATGCGAACATCAAGTTCTGCAATAAACGAGTTGGCATAGCTGACTGTAGTTCAAGAAAATTTAAAGTAGTTCTCTTATGTTTTAATAAACCTGATGATAGTGGTGAAAGAGCATATGGTGAATTAACAGCTATTCTCTGGTTAAAAACGGATGATGAAGAAGTAAGAAAAAAAATTTTTGCAAATACTGAAGAAATTGCTGGTTTAATTATTGCAAAAGGCAATAACTAATATGTTTTAGAATAATTTTTTTAAAAAAAATTATATATTTATTTTTTTTAAATTTTATTTATTAATATTTTTAAAAATATTTTTTTAATAAAAAAAAAAATAAATAAATTATTAAAGTGAAATGTTGCGCCGTTTTAACTCTAATGTTACATTTTGATATAAATTTTTTAACAGCTCATCACTATAAACATTAAACAGATTAATTTGCGATGTCGATTTTTGTTCACATTTAGATTTTGCACTTTTTGGTTTATCTTTTGTAAATTTTGGTTTAGCCTTTGTAGTTGGTTTTGTTCGCGAAACTTTATGATGTATCAATAAATGATTAAAAGTGAGAGTTATTTTTTTAAATTTTTCTTCATATTCTTTTTGTATTTTTTCAGATAACCAAAATGTTTTATCAGGATGATACTTCAAACATAATTTTCTGTATTGTTTCTTAATATCATCAAGAGTGTCAGTTTTTTTTACGTTTAAAATTTTATAATAATTTAATATTTTTTTTTAAAAAAAAAAAATAACATCAGATGTTTAAATATTTTTACAAATCATATGAATCTATCAAATCATATAATTTTTGCTTTAACTGATCAGATAAAATTTTATCTTTAGTTATATCTTCTTTTTTTTTTAATAAAAACTGTCCATCATCCTGATTCTCTTCGATTTCTTGCACATCTGAAAAATATGTATTAAACATAACACATTGTCTTTGCAATAATAATTTTTCATCGTTGGATAAATTCGAATCAATAATTGAATTATAAATTTGTCCACCAACTCGTAAAAATCCATCTAAAAAATGTTGTAAGGTACTAGAAACAATCGAATTATAGATGTCCATAAACACCAGATCTGGTTCAAGAGGTTGTTTTGGTTGCTGAGGTTGCTGAGGAGGTTGTTGAGGAATCTGATTCAAATACGGTTGAACTTGTCTAATAAAATCGTAAAGAAAAGCAATATGACTATCAATATCTCTTGATAAAACCCTTTGATCATCAACCAAAATTTCAAAATTACATCGCGCACATTCGTCTGAAAATACAAATCCCACAAATAAGAGAAAAAAAAATAAAATATTTTTACATATTTTGTTTTTTTTAAAAAAAAATCTTTTTCCAAATATTTATATAAATAGACAAAATATCTAAAAATAGAAATTAATGGATTTTAAAAAAATACATGAAATTTTTTTTGACGAAAAGAAATGCATTGATTTTTTATTTGAAAAAAATATTTTAAAACCAAAAACTAATTGTGAAACATGTAATTTTGAAACTAAACGAATTGATAAAACTTATAAATGTAAAAATAATAATTGTAATACAACTGTTACAATTTTCAAAGAAAGCATTTTTGCAAACTGCAACATTAAATGTTGTGATATTTTATTAATTGGGTATTTTTGGCTATGTAAATTGAATTATATTTCCATTAGCATAATAACAAATCACTCTTCGAAATCACTCATAAAATTCATAAATTTTTTTCGTGATAGAGCAATAAATAGCTTAACAGCAGATGATTTTATCATTGGTGGAAAAAATATCATCTGTGAAATTGACGAGAGTAAATTTAAAAAATACGAAGATTTTTGGATTGTTGGAGGCGTCGAATGTACCGAAAAGAAAAAATGCTTTTTTGTACTCACAGATAATCGTGAAGCCGCAACCTTAAGAAATATCATAAAACAACATGTTAGAGAACGTTCTATAATACATGTGACAGCTGAAGCTGAACTTGGCTTATGCTGAATATCATGTGATGTTTCGGGCCAGAATTGTAGATCATGTCATGTATCGATCATGCCGTACGTACCATTCGGCCCAGAAATTGCAGACTAGATTTCAAAAATTGCCTAACCACATCATAAGCACTAAATGAACTTAAGATTTTTGTGTACCACAAAAAATCGCTTTTTATCATGCAATAAAGTTATATGATGCTAAAAATGCTAAAAACATTGATATCTAAGTCTTAATGCTGGTATTACCTCTTTTTTTTTTTGTCATTTTTTTTATTCAACTCTAGTTTTACTTTCCCCTCTGATTTCTTACAATTTTATTTTCTTTGATCCCTCTTCTTCGATTCTCTTTTTTTCTGGCTCTTTTTTTTTCGATTCCCTTTCTCTCTTCGATTCTCTTTCTTTTTTTCGATTCCCTTGACTTCATTGTCTTCCTTTTTTTTTTGTTCCCTTTCTTTACCTTTTTCCGGTTCCTTTTTTTTTTGCTTTGCTTTTCTTCGATTTTCTTGACTTGATTTTTTTCGATTCCTTTATCTCGCATCATCTTTTTTTTTCGTTTTCTTCAATTCTCTTTTCGATTACCTTTCTTTTTTTTACCTTTTTTTTCTTTTTTTACCTTTTTTTTTTTTCCAGTTTTTTTTCAGTTTTTTTTTTTTCGTTTAGATGGCTTTGATCCTATTAACAGGAACTCGGATCTCCTTGTCATCTACTTCTATAATCGCTGTGCGATTGTTAGATATCAATGCTTTGAACACACCCTGTTGTGAAAACGTTGGCTGAAGCTTTCGCTTTCGCGTTTTTTGGTTCGTATCATGATCCGGCACAATAGCAACCATGGTTCCGACTTCAATTGTATTGTTTGGCGACTTTTTTTTATGAACGCTACCCTTCTTACATATCTTATTCCGAGATTTCTCTAGTAATACACTAACAGATTGTTGAATTTGCAATACACGTGAGATATGTTGGTCAACAATCTCAGGCGTAACATCAACATCATTGCAGTCAATCTCCTTAGGAATATTTTGCAATATTTCGGGGGGTATCATAAACACAGCACATTTTCTAACCAAACATCACCTGGTGTGGTATACAACCATGTGCTTCATGTATGGAGGAATTATATGATACAACGAAGGTATCAACAACATTAACCTAGTTCTTCCGTTGTAGTTGACTATTTTTATCTCATAGCATTTTAGTAAAACCATGACCAACGGTCTGGTTAAGACGTTCAACCTGGCCTTGCGATTGTGGGTGACGAGGGCGACCATGTCTGATAGTAATACCCAAAGTCCCACATATTTGGGTGAGGATTGTCGCAACAAACTCCTTGCCGTTGTCACTTTGAAGAATCGTGGGGGGCCCAGAATCTTAAAAGCGTCCTTTACAAGGTGACTTGCAACAGTATTGGACTTCTTGTTTTTTAGAGGGACAGCTACAAGAAATTTTGAAAACACACAAATGCATGTAAGTAACTATGCAAAACCATCATTCATCTCTGTGTAATCATGAAAGTCCACAAGATCAATCTGAACATGTTCCCACGATGCTGCAGATACTACCGGCATCAGATCAGTTTTTTCTTTAAGATAAGTACTCACTGCACAAGAAGCACATTCGTTGACATACGCTTGGACTTCTTCCTGTGTAATTCCAATATGGTGTTCTGAAATAGTAGCGAAAGTCTTGTGATAGTTACGGTGGTTTGCTTGATCATGAAAATGCAGTAATATCCAGGTACGCAATTATTGGTCATACTTAGAAACCACCTGGCATCTTTCAAATGTAACGCCATTCTTCACAACAGCAGGTGTGTATAAGGCTCTATTTTCGTCTAACACAAATTTTGCGCATCAACGAATAAAGTTTGTTTTGGCACACTTTTTCAAAATATTGTTTTTGAGTGAAGATATTCCACTATCGTTTGGTATTCAGCTTCTGTCTTGGAGATTTTTGGGATTGCTAGCATAAGTCAATAAAAATAAAAAAAAAAAGTTTTTTCAAAAAAAAAAAATAAATAAATAAAAATAAAAAAAACCCGCAGAAGAAACACTTGCTAAAAAACAGGTTGGACGAAAAAAAAAAAACTTAAAACCCGCTGAAGGGAAAAAATTGCAAAAAAAAAAACTTGCTAAAAAACAGGTCGGTCAAAAAAAAAAACTTGGTCGTTGGATACTTAAAAGCGCAGTGTGTAGGCGAACATAAAAAAAGAGAATTTTTATGCACAACATGCATAACAAAACAATGATATGCATTGTTGTATTGTGCAATTTCCAGGCCGAATGGTATGTACGGCATGATCGATATGTGATACGATCTGCAATTTCCGGCCCGAAACATCACGTGATATTCAGCATTAGCCAAATTCAGCATCAGCCGTCACATTAAATAATCAAAATAGTAATCAGTAAAGAAAGGCACATGTGTATTTTAAATCTGAGGAGGACTTGGTACAAGCACAAAAAGTGGTCCTCTATTACTATAGCACCAAATTGGAGTGGAAAATGCCTACGAAAAGAGGTGAAGAAAATTTTTTTACTCACATCTAGTATGACATAGATGAAGAAACATCACAATCAGATCAAAGCAAATACAGTTCTTATGCAAGTAACAAAGGCAAAGAAACACAGATCAAATATAGTAACAATTTAGAGAACCGTAACCGCAAAAGAGAAAGCAACAAGTCATGGGGTTTGGCAGATAAGAGAAGAAAAATAAAAGCTAACAAGCTAGCCGCATCTAGAAATATAGCTTTTACACCTCATCCAAACAGAAAAAACAAGCTACTATCTGAAAGCAATAGAAGTAAAGAAAATATCACCTGTGATATCAAGAAACCTGCAGGTTATTTTGAGAAAAATTCTACAGCAAGAAAAGTAGCAACTACAGAAATGCAAATTGAAACAGAAGTTCACATGCTAGAGCAAAAAGAAAACACCCAAAACACGATCCTTGAGCAAATCCTTCAAAGACTTAATGCAATAGAGCTAAGGCAAGGTAGCCTAGGTGCTCAGAATCACTCCTAAAAGTTGCTACAGGCATTTTTATGGAAAAAGGGGTCCAGGAAAAAGAGGAGAAGTATGCCTAGACCCACCCAATGCAGAGAAGGAGTATAATGAAGGAAAATGGTGGGGTTCTGAAGATAGTGGTACATAATATTAATAGGTTAAAGTCACATAGTTATCAGTTAGATTTGGTTTTAGTATAGGCTGCACAAGAAGGTTTTGATTTGATTGGTTTAAGGGAAACTAATATACAAGAATGTACAGGAAAATTTTTGGTAAAAAATAAAGACAGTTACCGAGAAATTTGGGCTTGTGCAGATGTAAATAAATCTAAGAGTTCAGGTGTAGGATTACTTGTTAGCAAAAGAATAGAGAAATATATCGAGAAAGTAGAAAAGATTAACGAATTTCTATTAATTATAAACTTTTATTTACCAAACAACAACACGCTCTCGGTCATGATAACGTATCTTTCACCAAGCAACAGCGAGATGATAAAAGAAGTTTCGGCTAGGATCCGCGACAAGATTACATTTTATGAAAAAACAAATTCTGTAATCTTAATGGGGGATTTCAATCATGTCATAGATTCACAGTCAGACCGAGCAAGACCATTGTCAACACAAAAAAGTCTACCTTTACATCGGTAGTTAATTTTTAAAAAGTACAAGGACTCGTTCAGATTTTGCAACCCAGAAAGTAACAGATCTGGGTAGCAAACTGTCTAGCTCAATATGTAGAGACAGCAAACATTATTGAAATGCAAACAATTACGGGTAGTGACCATAAGGCAGCTTTTGTTAATATCAAAATAAAGCTACACAAAAGCCCAGAAGAGGATATATCAAGTAAGGCATATTCAGCAGAACGAACGAAGTGGTTACTTGACCAGACAAAAGAGGAGAATTGGCAGAATTATAGAGCAACATTGTGGAAGCTCCTAGATAGTAAAGTTCCATCCTTCCTAAAAGAACATTATATAGGTATCAATATAGCTTCTTCACCAAATATAGTAAATAAAGTCAATCAAGTACAGGAAATAATTGAAAAGGCTATTATTAAATCAGCAAAACAAAACCTCCCAAACAAGAAAATTAAACCTTCAAAAAGAGCTGTTAGGAAAAAAAGAAAGAAAAACTTGTGGTTGACAGTGGCACATAATTTGAGAAAAGTTATAAGAGATATTAAAAAAGCAGAAAATCCACCTAATAGTGGCTTAGTATTGCAATGGAATAGAAGTTTGGAAAAAATAAATAAGTTGACAAGTAGTAAGATTACGTTAGTTACAAACTTTAATACTGAAAGCTGGTTAGAAGAAGCAAAAGTATGATGGAAAGCATTTGGAGGCAAAGTAGTTACCGAAGAGGATTCACGAATCAAAAAAGAAATTAAGATATATATTGAAAGGAAAGCGCAAATGATCGTTAAAGAACAAAAACGAATATTAACAAGCTTGCTAGAAAAATCAACTTCCAAGATGACAATTGACAGAGTATATACCGAAGAGGCAGAGAGTGTCTAGCTAGAAACAAACCCTAAAGAGGTGCTTAGGATTACTAAAGAGCACTTTCAAAATCAGTTTTGTAAAAGAAACACAAACATGGCCTTTCTGAATGGGGATTGGTACCAAGAATATAGTCCTATTGCGTGGGTACAAGAGAGTTGGTACAACTCATTACTCAAGCCAATCGAAGTAGAAGAATAGGAAGCAGTATTAAGAAATAGCAAATCGAACTTTGCATCGGGGATCTTAACAATTACCTACTCATTTATTAAGCAGGCAGACAACAGATCACAAGTTGTTTTTAAAAATTTTGCAAACCTGTGTATATGCAGTGGGGCAGTACCAGATAAATAGAAAGTAGTACAAGTGTACTCAATACTAAAAGGAATGAATTAGGAATACGATTTAAACAAGATACGCTCAATAGCTCT